TAAAAGCTTGACTCCTCGAGAATTCAATTCATATGGTTCCCGCAGAGGGAATGATGCTGTCATGGCAAGAGGAACATTTGCAAACATTCGCTTGGTGAACAAGTTTATTGATAAGCAGGGACCTCAGACTGTCCATTTCCCTTCGGGGGAAACTGTAAGTACAGAAGCTGCTCTGAACTCAGGCTCACTGACAGCAGGGTGGATTAACCCTGGCTGTCTCTCTTACAGCTTAGGTTATTACTCAAGTCCCTTTTAAGTAAAGCTGATAAAATGACAGGAACCATGTTGAATTAAAGCGGTAGGTCATTCAGACCTGCATAGTGTGGTGCTATCACATGTGTCGCTAGAGAGTATAATCATTGTAGAAGTGATACTAGAAGGTGTAGATTTGCTTAGGAAATGAGGCCGGGCTAGAAGTCATGCAGTATTATATGATGAATGCTTTCAAAATCCATCTTGAAGCAAGTGTGGGCTTCAGCACTTTGTGGGAGGACACTTTCTCCTTGTCCTCAGAAATGTGTTTTTTTCCACACCTCCAAAATACACAAAGGATTTGTCATTTTCATTCCAGCTTGATGTGTTTGATGCTGCAGAAAGATACAAGCAGGCTGGTCATCCTCTGATCGTGCTGGCTGGGAAAGAATATGGTGCAGGAAGTTCCAGAGACTGGGCAGCCAAAGGACCATTTCTTTTGGTAGGTGGCTATGTTAAACTACAAAAGAGGACAATATTTAAAAAGATGTATTTGTTTCTCAAGTAGAGTAACATAGCTGACATTGATTCCTGGCACAATTTTAGAGTCAGTAGAAAGACTGGGACCTTCTTTGCACGTATCAGGTGGGAGCTTGTGAGCAGATTGTGCTTAGTAGCTCACTGCGACACTTGTTAGCAGATGAAGAAGGAAGTGCTGTGTCATTTTCTGTGAGATCTGTGAACAAGGGGATGTCCAAATAAACTGTGGATGTGCACGCAAAGCAGAACTTCTTGAGAGCAGGGAATATCAAAATATCATAAAATATCATCAGGGTCTAAAAGCTCTGGAAGAGTTGCAAAAGCTGTTTAAATATTAACAGATCTTGTTTAGGCAGGAAAGCTGCAGCTAACAATCCACAAGGCTACACCAGATAGGACAGGCCTCTTAATACTTTGGCCTCTCACAATGCAGTGAACCTTGGTTTTGCTTTCACCTGCCTTCTTAAGTTCACTTACTAAAGAAAATAAAAGAGTAAATGAGGAATAATATCAGTGAGTGTGCAGTTCAGTGTTGCTTTACCATGATGTGCAATTTTCGAGGACTCTTACCAGCATTGTGAGAGGATCCTAATAGAAATTCAGCTTCAGTTGAAAGTATTGTTGTTCTTCGTCCTGTCCTACACTTCTTTGAGAGATCTGATTCCAGGCTTTCCAGTGTAGAATTTGTAATGCAGTAGTTTATTTTAAAGCAAATTTTTAGGCATATACTTCTCTAAATTTTTTTTTCCTATAATGTGTTTTTTTTTAAACTGTATTAACATGCAAACATCTCTTAACTATACCCTAGAGCGCCTAGGATAGGCAACAGTGAAGGCAGTACAAATTCCATCAGGAAGGAGGTGGCAGCAAGAATTGCAGAAAAGACGAGTGGTCTTGTACTTAAGACTCATTAAAAGACCATGAGTTGCAGGGAAAACACATGAAATCTATTGACAAGTAGACCTATGTAAAGGTGTTTGAAAGGTGACTCAATCAGGTTATCCTGGACAGTCTGCTGTCAGAGAGACCTAGTCACATAGCAGTAACTGATAAATGGCGGGAAGGGACCATGGAAATACGGATTTTGTTTTCCTTCTGTGATCACAAAAGACTGTTCTGAACAAGGCAGAGGGTTACATCTGTTGTGTATTTCCCAGGGAGTCAAGGCAGTGCTTGCTGAAAGCTATGAGAGGATTCATCGCAGTAACCTGGTAGGGATGGGAGTGATTCCTCTGCAGTATTTACCTGGCGAGGACGCAGGGACCCTAGGCCTCACTGGACGTGAACGCTACACCATTATCATTCCTGAGAAACTAAAACCACAGATGAACGTCCAAATCAAGGTAAGTGGGACACCTGGGGGTGAATTTACTAAATCACTGCATTTTGATTCAAAATAACTCTTGTGTTTTAGTATGGCAGGAAGCTGCTCTCACTTCAGGTGACAGAAAAGACTTAAGAGATGAGGAAAAGCTTAGTCATTTCAATAGAATTCTGTTATGATGGGATAAAAGCATCGTACCCGAAATTCAGCAGAAAAGGCTCCTCTGTTTTTGACCAGTGCTTCTGTATCCATTGTAAATTTTTATGAATCTGTTATTTCTTTCTATAGCACAGTAGCAAATAAACTGTAAACATTACATTCATTGTCCTAACCCTGACAAGCCAACAGAACATTATACATTGCAGTGTCCAGAATGATGTAAAACCTCCTTCTTTAAAAAAATATCTGCAGGTACAATGGAATTGACTTATTCTTGATTATAGCTCCTGTAAAACTTATTTAGTGTCTTATTTATTGGCCTTTAAGTCAGCTTTTCTACTACATTTAGCAAAACAGTTCAGCACTTACTGTGCATTCATTCAGTGCAGGTGTTCTGCTTAGATTAGTTTTGAACAGCAGGCATTTATGTTATTCCCTGGAGTGGAACAAGTAGAGACCTTATGAGTTCTTCAACATATTGGGCATAAATAGACATTGTGCACTCATCTACAAATGTGTGACTAGGGCATTTTTTAGCAAAATAGTGATTTGCTAGTTATTCCATGCTTTTGTCTTTATGTTTTTCTTAATTCCAAACACTAGCTCCCTAAAGCGAGGTAATAAAGTGGATATTACTGATGTAGTCAAGCCAGGAGAATGGCTTTGTAGAAGAAAAATGAATAATTAGAATAACCACTTAAAAGTGCAGTAAGCTTTCATGCTTACAGCAATAGTAAATCTAGTAGGAGCAGCAGATAGAATGCACAGATGCTCCATACCATGCGTGGTGTATTTTATTTCAGACCACCTTCTTCTGAAGCAACTGGCAGTGATCTCAAATAGCAGACTACAGTAGAGAAATACTACTGTTCACTTCAGCAGTTTCATATTTCAATTTTCTTTCGTATTGCAAAATCTTGTAATAGTCCTTATTTTATTTCTCTGTCCTGTAATATGTGTAAGATTCTGCCACTTATATGACTATTTATTTATTTATTTTATCTCCAACAGCTGGATACTGGGAAGTCCTTCCATGCCATCATGAGGTTTGACACTGATGTGGAGCTCACTTACTTCCACAATGGGGGAATTCTGAACTACATGATCCGTAAAATGGCATCCTAATCCAAACAGCACTGAGCAGAAACATCCAGGTACAGGCCTGCTTTAAGTGAGCACAAGGAAATGATATGGTAACCACAAATACAACAGCCTGAACCATAAAGTGAATGACTTTTTTTGGGGATTCTATTATCAGGTGGTGTGTTTACAATGTTGAATGGTTCTGTCTATCAGGAAGTGGGCCACTTACCCCTTCAAAGAAAACAGCTCTTTATTACTCTTTTCATATAGTGGTTAGATTGACTTACTGTAGCATGACAATGCAAAAGTCATGCAGTAAAAAAGTGTTAAAAAAATAACTGCTGGAATCTGTCGAACTGTTGAAGATCATATGCTGATTTTATATTTTTTGTCCATTTATTTTGATTCAAGTTCATTTCTATGCTCATATCAGTGGTCCAAAAATTAACTGACAATATAAAATGAATTTGATTCCTTTTCTGATTACCAGGCATTGACTTGCTTTTAACTACAATTGACCAGAATCTGAGTTTAATATTGAAATTATTTAGCCGCTTATTAATTAAAAAAATGTGAACTCTGTTCCTTAAGCTCTAGCCTTAGTGGAAGAGTGGTCCATTTGGGGATAGTATTTCTAACTGATACAATTAAATTTATTTTCAAAAAACGTTGGTGTGTTTTTTCATTTTATTTTGAATATGGAGACACAGAACAAAGCTTATATTTGGAACTCTTCATCTTCTTATGAACATGATCCTACCTGTTTTGACTTACTACATTTTAATTAATTCATTGGACTAATCTGCCTGATACAGGATGGACATGAATACTGGCAGTCTTCTGTACCCAGCCAGGTACTGACGGCGCTCTTGGATGACACAAGGCAGAAAAAAGTAGATCTACCACAACTTCAAGATCTTTGTCAGTGTTTTCATGGGAGATCGCAACCAAGGCTTAAACTGTTGCATTCATTAAAGTCAGACTGCCTAATCTGTAAGATAAAATGAATCTCTTTGCAAATGTAGATAACGAAACCATCTTACTTGAGGTGAACAAAGCAATTTTAAAAGCTTCAAAATCTTTTAAAAGTTTTTATTTAAGCTAAAATTATTTTTAACTGTAGTTAGAGCATCTGCCACAACAATTAACACTTTACATTGATAAATGTCCTTCCAGATTATCTTCCTGTTTTGTCTTCAGTGCTATTAGCTTTATCTGTGAAAAAGCAAGGACTTTATTTCTGAAAGAAGTCAAAAACTTTAAGGGGGGCAGAGCCTGCACTGTAGCTGCTGCAGGCTGGCAAGCTTCATTACAACAGGCAATGGAGAGCTTGGTAGTGTAAATACGATTATGATCTTGAAAGTTATTTGATTATAAATACACAGATTTGGATTCGGTTGCAAAAAATGATCACATACTCGCAAAGGTCAAGTGAAGTGATGAAATTGTTCCCCTCCATCCCTCACAGGGAATTGAACGTAGACTTGCAGTATGAGAAGCTGGATTTCCTATTCATGTTTTACCTCATCAGCCTGAAGACATCCACGTGAAATACGGTGTTGTTTTAGTCTAGAGTCCTTGCTTTCAAACAGTGGAAGAGGATTAAACTTCTCAAATGTGCTAACTTCCCAGTAATCATTAATACGAGCTGTGATGTCAGCACTGATTAGCCTTTATTGCAAGAGTCCAAAAGTTGATGGTCCTTTTACACAGCAAACTGATACGTGCCCCAACATACAGAAAAGACTGATTTCCGTATATAATTGAAGTTATTTAACAGTTTTTTTTAGGGGTGAGGAAGAGGCAATTGTCCAACCATAAATCATCTATATCCTTTTTTTTTTATTATTTTATTTTTGGAAGCAAATATAAGAACAATGAACTTAGTAAGAAACAAGCACAGAGTAAATCACTTTAGGGCTGAGATGTGGGGTTTCTGTATAATTTTTTGCAGAAGAATGTATCTTGCACTAAGATATTTAAGTCTATATACTTGCTCTCACATAAGCAACACACAGAAACACATAGGAATCCTGCAACTTTTGCAATAGCAAATTGATAAGCATAGGGCAAGAAAAAAAAATACTGTTTTAATCCAGAAGAAACCTGCACCAAGTAGAACATGCAAAATCCTTTTCTAGACTGTTGCAGTAGTAGATTTCCTTGTTGCATATGGACTTCAAAGATGAAATCTCTTCCTTACAGGAAAGGAATTGGACATTCCCTTTAATTATTCTAGAACACTGAAAGTATTTTAAAATAAATTTAGAAGTAGCTGAAATCCATAAGCCATGTTATTTACATAGAGATAAAATATAGATATTACGTTCATACATATAAACATAGATACAGTTTGCAACATATAGAATCAAAGCTTAATAACTTGACTTGAAAGCGTCTATAGAACTTGTGTTTTGAAGGAACTTGCGCACGGTCTGAAACTGTGGTTTCTGCAGGAAGGAGCTTACGTTAAGAATGTGGGCTGTAATATGAAGCTATTTGTGCTGCATCGTTATGAATCCATTTTTAAAGGGTTTTCTGAAATCTCAAGCTTTTTGCACAGGGGTACTTGACAGCCCAGCACTACAAAGAGACTGCTAATGATGAGCATTTCATGTCAGCATTCGTTGTTACTGGTCAAGGAAACATTGATTTTTCAGAGACTGGACTATCACAAACTCCTCATCCAAGCATTTTCCCTCTGTAGAAGAGTATCTGAATTCAATCAAGACGACAAAAACAGGAGGAAAAAGGTTTGCGTGATTAAGAAGGGTGGGAAGGTAAGTGCTGTAACCCTCAGCCGTGGCCTTAAGCCTTTCCTCATGTCACCTAATGTTTGTTAGCTGCTCTCCGTGTTGTACTTTGTACTGGTCTTATGCACTGGACAAAAATAATGGGGAAAAATCAGACTTGCACATGAGAAGCTTACGCTGATAGGGAAAGTAAATATTAGTTACGCTGACAGGTCATGCACTGGTCTTCCACAGTATGGATTCACATCTATCAGTAGGGAGTTCAGGAGGACTGACCTGGTTGTGTAATGCTGCATATTTGCACATCTGGTACCAACCAGCTACCAGCATAACTTGCTGCAGAAGCTGTTAGCATTGGTGCTGTGGTTTACTGATTTACCCTGGGTTTTTACTAGGCTTGCTCATCTGCCAGACACTGCTTGGAGTGAGGGTGAACAATATTGCAGGCAAAACAGGTCACCAGCAAGGGCGTAAACAAGCCCAAATGTCACCCTGCTAATACCCCTGGCTCTTCTGCAAAGGTCTCTTGAAATCTCTCAGAAAACACTGCTCTGAAATCAATAACGTATTGGCACGACATAAAATAGCTTTGGAGAACACTTGTGTTGGCCTGCAGAAAAGCCAAAGCGTGTTGAACATGAGGAGGAACAGCTGTAATACCATCATCACCTTCATCCCATCCATCTACACGCAGTTCCAAGCAGATAGGCTGGTATTTTCCTTCCAGTGAGCTAGATAGCTTTACGTTTATTTTTAAGATGTGTAGTTCATATAATCCTGCTTTAAATCCCAAGTTTTTTTTGCAGTTCTAGCCATGTGGCAACAAGATGACATGCAGCAAGCCAGCAGCACAACCCCTGCCTTCCTGCTGACCTAACCTCAGTCTGAAGCCACACAGAGAGCACATTTCTTCCAGGATATCGTTATCCCTGGAGATTTGCTAAGTTACTTCTGTTTTGCTCATCACAAGGAAGCACTGTTGCCTCTTGCCCCTCCATGGCCTGTAGAGGTAAAACCATTAGGAGGTAAAACCATTATTTTGGTGTCCATCAATATAATTTTACCACAAAAAAAGGCAAGCAAAAACCACAAGGAGCAGGAAAATGCAGCACAAACAAGCTGATAACAACTTGTTATCAAAGGGATGATTAATACTCATATATTGAGTTCTGACTCCGCTCATGCCGTCATTTTAAGTGGATTAAAATAATAATTTCTTTGCAACTTCAGTGGCATAGTAAGAGAAAGCACTTTCACCTGTAGACAAGTGAGTTCTGAAACCATTATTTCATTATAAGACAAAAATCAGAAATTCCAAATCAGGACAGAGTTCTAAAAGAGAAATGGAGTAGAAAGGAAATCATTTCCTGCCAAGTTACCAAGTCAATTATTTGGATGATGGATTAAAATATTTCAGATGCACATTTTAAAAAATTGGGCAGTACGTTTAGAAACGTTCAACCAAAACCAGCCTGTAGAGTGGCGCTTTGTTCCCCTCTAGTGGCTGGATAATAAAACCACTTCTGAGTCAAGGTACAAACAGAATCTCTTCTTTATCTTGAGTGTTAAAGTCCACATAGAACTTTGTGTTCTTAGATATCCACTTCAAAGAAAAGAAAGGGAACAAAAAAGAAGAGAAAAGGAAAGACACAGAGCTTCAAGGGCTGCGTTCTGTCACCAGCCTTTCCTTGTGTATTTGCATCATTTCTCTCACTTCACTGAGTGACATGAACAAGAATAAGACGTGCACATATCTGAAATGCAGAGCCATTCTGTAGCACTCCAAGTCCATTTATAGGCTGAAGAACGTTTCTAAATTTCCATAATTTCCATATCTCTGACTTGGGTCGTTTTGATGACATTGGCACAGTATTAACAGAGCACAACAGGATTGCACTGGGCAATACCAATGCCTTGGTCAGCAACAGATGTAGCAAGGAGGAACCTTGATGTTTTTACTGTTTTTTAAGGCATTCTATAAATCCTTCTAGCTGTGAGGGTTATACCTGCAATAGCAAGAAACTGTATCAAGATAAACACTCAACAGCATGTCCCATGAGAACATCTGGCTTCATGTGACTACCAAGGACAGAGTTGTCTTCCACCCTTCTTCAAAGTCTGGAAAGCAAATCAGGGATGTGTCCATGCAGCCTGATGCCTGTCCAGATGAAACAGAGCTGGAGAACCAAAAGCAGAAAAGAAAGTGGAATTTGCACTTTCCTAGGATCCCTAGGATTTCCCTAGGATCACAGCCACTAGAGCAGGATTTGCACACCCTGCCAATGTTTTTTTTTCCCCACTCTCATTAAATCTAACTAACTTGCCTTTTTAAAATCAACTGCTGTGAAACCAGTCACTGAATGTGGGACCTCTGTCCCACAGAGAAAATGAGATATATTAACTAAATGTACTTTATCACTGCAGAATGAAATGGTAAGTGCTAAGAACCTTCAGATATTCAAGAACTTCAGCCAGTTTTGCATCTGTTACTGTAAGCTGACAGCAGATGCCTGGCGTCGCTGATTTGGACATTTATTTTTCTCTTGCTTTGCAGTTCATTCAGCAATCTATATGCAAGGATAAAGTGGGGCCCAGACTCTCAGCTGGTAACTCCATTTACAGCAGTTAAAAACTCTGATCTGTTGCAGCAAATGCTAAAGAGCTGCAAAAACGACATGTTAGCATGAGCACAGTTATTTCCAGTGTAAATTTCTTTGGGAACAGGATATTGGAAAGGAGAAAACAGGATCATCCAGCCCAGATCCTTGATCCTGGACAAAAAGGGAATAGCCTAGTCTATGAGAAGTGTCTGGAGAAGACGGACTCCATAAACACCTTTGATTTTCTTGGCGAAGAGGAGACACTGGAGCAAGGGAGAAGGAGGAATGAGGCCATGAGTGGAGGCTGACAGTGCTGCCCTCCCCCTCCCAGAAAAGCTCCGTGGGATCCGAATTCCCAGCCTTATCCCCGTCCTTGGTGGCAGTGCTCCCTGCTGCATCCAGGAAAGGATGGGGATTCTCCTGGGCCCTCCTGTTCCTGTTCTTTTACCCAGGAGCCGTGGGTGAACTTCATAGCCGATAACAGGGCCACGAGGTTTGTCTCTGCCCAAGAAGAAGCTTCTTCGCACAGCCTCCCTCGGGAGCATAGGCTGGGGAAAAAATGTCACTGGGGATGTGCATTCACTAACATCTAACCCCTTTTAAAAACAGACTTAATAGGTTTTAATGGACTGTTTTAACAGCTGTTACATTATTTTTTTCCTCCAGACTCTGAAATTTTCCTTCTCTAAGCCTTTCAGTTTCTTCTGGGCTGCTTTGCACACCTTTTTCTCCTATGCATCGCTGGTGAACAAGTTAAACAGTTCTTTTTCTTCCCTGGATTTCACTCAGTGATGTGCTTGCAGACGATAACCACATTGCCCCTCAGCCTTTGTTTTGCTCAATAACACCTCTGTGCGTCTGCTCCCGCCTCGGAGAAACCTTGCAGGGGATAATCTGAATTTCATGTGGTATTGCAGACAAGGCCATCGTTGCCCATGACTGCAGATATTCACCCTCTCCAAACCTTTCCTGATACATCCTGGAGCTGCATCTGACCTCTTTTATGGCTGCATCATGGTGCCACATCTGCCATCATCAGCACTTACATGTTCTTCATTCCTGTCTCATGATGCTGTAGATGCTCTTCTCTTCGAGATGTTTATCCTCTTCTGTAAGGATATAGTCTTTATCTGTAGTCCTTGCTTGAGTCATTCCTGTACAATGTCCATTTGCCTGCATCTTTTGAACCTGTCCACAGCTATATGGGACACTCTTTGCATTTGCTCATCAGTTCCTCCTAACTCGTAAATTCGGTGGATAATTTTTTGCATTGTCCCTTGGAGTCTTCCAACCTTCCTCATTTTCTAAGCTGGGACCCTGCTGTATTTTGTGTGTGGTGGCTGTGATCTTCATCTCTCCCGTTTGCTTTGGCAGGTCAGCTATACCCTAAGCACAGCCTATCTGCTTCTTAACAAGTCTGACCACACAAATGACCCCTCTAAACTCACAGACAAGTAAACCCCATCAAGCAAAAGCACACGAAAAAATCATGCATTGTACTCAAAAAATACAGGTATTTGTCATTTCTGACAGCAGATGCACTTTTTAAAATAATTGTAGAATTACAGAATTTTGTAACTAGTTATCATTTGTTGTTCCTATATAAAACACATTAGGTAGCAATTCCTCTGCCTAAAGAAGGCTTTTGCACCTTTATCATGGGAACTTAAGAACACCTATAATTATGGAAAGTCCACCTAAAACAATTAAATTCTGCTATTTGGTTGTGGGGCTGAGGTGACCTCCTCAAGGGACATCAAATCAGAAGGGTTTCAGGAGGTTCAAGTTAAGCACGTTATAATATTAAACTGCATTTCCAAGTGAAAGGGAGCTCTGGTTTTAACATTAAAAGCTGTCAGCAGTTCCCCTACAGTGCACTCACTTTTAATCTGTTCCTAACCTGTCCTAATCTGTCCACTTTTAATCCAAAAAAATGACCAAGCCTGTTAAAGAGCAAAATGAACACAGTGCCCATCCTGGTGACAGACATCCATGGCTAAAAGATAGTCCTAGTTCTTGTACTTTAGTAATGAAAATGGAAAATCTTTGGCTTTGGCTGATTTCTGGAGTTTCTGTTTCATCATGGACTTAAGTTTTTAATTCTCCAAAAGAATTGTGATATTTCCAGGCATGGAATCAATCAAGGTAAATTTTCTTGTTTGTAGTTTTCCCTGGTTCTCAGGTGTCATGCAAGATGTGACACAGATTGGCTATATTTCTTTGGCAGATCTGTTTACGAGGATTTTATAACTTTTTCCATGCAGAGGAAGAGCAGCATAATTTACTTGTGTATACGTTTACCTTCCTATATGTAGACTTCTGTTCTTAACAGAAGGAAATGAAAATGAAACCACTTGCTGAGAAGTCATTCCTTTTTGTTTCAAAATTTCCTTCATTATATATAAATTCTGATAGATTGGTTAATATTCAGCTAAGTCAGGGATCATTTATTTAGGAAGAACTTTGCTGTTTTGTGTTTAAGTAATTTTTCTGACTAGCGACTGCACAATATTGACCTGTACTTTATACTGTAAATCATTAAGATGTTAATGTAATGATTGCTGTACTTGACATTTTTCCAGCAATGCTAAATAAGTTAATGAAAGGGAGTTTCTGGCTTTAATGCTTGGGAATACTTGGGAATTATTATGCACGATATGTATACTATTAAAAATCAAAACTCCGATTAAAATATTTAAAAAAATCATTTAACTCATTAACTCATTTAAAACTCAGAAGCATCATCAAATTCAAAGGTCAGGAGCCAGTCTGTGAAATATGATTCTAACATGAATTTTCCTCTCACATATTTTCATTCAGTCTTAAACTATCTTATACTCCCCAAACCGTTGCAAGCATTACCATCAACGCAGATATGATATAGGGTGGAAACTATATCTGCAAAGCTAAAATTATTTCCCATGACCTGAAATGCAAAGAAAAAGTAGGGAAATTAGGTAAAACTGCCCTGCATTACATATGATATTGTACAATATCCACTGAGTTAGCTCCTATAGATAAATCATGTCAAGCACGGATGACAGAAGAGAAAAAGGAAACTGTGTGAAATTATGATTTAAAGTTCCTACAATACAGATTAGAGCAAAATAGAAAGTTTTGAAATTTCTGGTAGAATATTCCATTTTAGTACACGTGGCCCATGATATGATGAGCTATTATCTCATACAATGCATTATTGTATACTAGATATACAATATCAATATAATAAATGTTGTATCTAATATAATCTAATCTAATAGAAATAACTACTTCTGTTATAACTCATATACTTTGATTGAAATTTCCTTAATTTCCTCATTTCTGTTTTTCTTATTTAACTTTTTTTTTGTCTTTTCCAATTTTATCATTTACATTTTATGGCATTTCTTTTTCTTTCAATGCATAAAAACATTTCAAAGTTTGTGGTTCACAGCCTTCACCAGGATGGGTACGATCC